ATTTATATAAAATTCATAAAATAAATTAAAAAATGGAAAAAAATAAATTAAGTAAATAATTAAAAGTGGCGCTATGGCCTATAGCGATACTGTGTCGTTATAGGCCATAGCGCCACTTTCACAAATTCGTATTTTTTTTAAAAAAAACTATTTACTTATTTTTTGATATTTTTTTAATATTAAAAATGAGGCGCTGTAAGCTATACCGACTTCATTGAAACCGTTTTGTGTTGCTATGGGCTATAGCGACATTATCTATATGACTTTCATGACTTTTCTGGAGTTTAAAAATTCTACGTGGCATGCCATAGCGACACCGTTGTAAACAGCCCCAAAGACGTAAATACTTTCAAAAGAGCCCCATAAATAAGTTGGTCAACTACCTCACTTTGGTAAAAAAGCCGACTGAACTTTCCTTTGTTTTTTGGCGCGGGATTTGTGGGTGCGATTCAACCAGACAAAGACAACATTGTCGTGAAGTTTATAAAGTTTAAAACAAACATGTCACTGGCTACGAGCAAGAAACGAGAAAAAGATCTTTGGACGGTTTTGTTTTTTTTTAATAATATTCTTAATTTTAGACACTTTTTTTGACGAACAAAACTAACTTACGGGGATGCCAATCTATGTTATTATCAAGAAAAATAAAGTCGAGCAATTTTCATGTGCCCAGTTTATATTAAAAAATGAATTGTTGAATTTTATTTTATTTTTGTCAAAATGGGTTCATCTGATTGGTTTAACCTATTTTATCACTCTTAATTTTAGTGATGATAATAATAAAAATAATAATTATAATATATCTTATTTAAATGTTTATATATTCTTAAGATATAAAATATGTTTATTTTTATTTAGTATCTGTTTAAAGTAGTAAAAAATTTATCAAAAGGTATATGATATATGATATACGATATATCATCACTCCAACAAAAATAGGTAATATATATTAGCTTAAATTATATTTTTGTCTCTCTATAATATTAAATTTATAATTTTAAATATTTTATTTTTAAATTCATAATTTCAATCTCTCAAATTCACAATTTTTGTTTTCTATTTGAATCTTCACTTGTTAATCATTAAAATTAAAATATTAATCATAAATTATATTAAGTAGATAGAAAAAAATTAATATTTAATAATATTTAAACTAAGTTTTATTTTCATTTCATAAAAGTGGTAAAATGAGATAAAATTATAGGAAAATATGAGAAATAAAAAAATTTAATTATAAGGAAATTAAACTTACAAATTTTATAAAATAAAAAAAATAAAATTATATATTTAAAAAAAATAGAGAAACCAAAAGTATGAGATTAATATTATAATTTGAGAAAGATGTAATACAACCTCAATATTAAAATTAATAAAATATCAAAGTTTAAGCTAATTAAGAAGATTGATCAAGTAGTTTAAGATTGGCAGTGTCTAATGTAAAAAAATATAAGAAACACATGGAGGCCCGTTCACCTGCCTATTTCCAATGATGCTGTTCGCCAACAGTTCAGCAGAGGTAACAAACTCAACCACTGCCCTCTGGCCTCTGGTCTCTGGGGTTATATTTTAAATTTTTTTCAATATATATAAAGATAAAATAGAGAAAAAAAAATACTTTCATTAAGTGATGATATAACAGTTACATTGGTCACTACATGCCATATCATTATTTATATAGTATGACAAATGAGTCATATTTTGAAATTGTGTTTTTTTTTATTTTCGTATTTTCACAAAATTCATTTTTTAGTCACTCAACATTTTCTTTTTCAAGTTTAACATGATGTAACTTGGAGTGGGAGGAGGAGAGGGAGGGGATCGGGGACAACGTTATTTATGTATAAAAATAGAACTAATGTAGAAAAAACATTTTTTTTTTTTTTACATTAAGAAGATCTATGTTGGTCTACCTAAAATATTCATTTTAGCCAACGTTAATCATCATTCAACATTAACAAATATTTTTTATAGAACTATTGTACACTAACAAATCGTTGTCTTAGTAAAACTGATTTTACTTCTTTAAAGTATAGTCTTATTGTATACCAACTACTATACTATTAATACTTTTATATAGAATTTAGTTTTTATCGATTAAACAATTGAATGATAACAATATATTAAATTAATTATTTGTGTCAAATTTTATAAAAAAAAATAATTAAACCTTTACAATTATATAATTAAAAGTTTTTATTTTATATATTTTAAAAATATATATTATGTTAATATTAATGTACATGACTCATGACTAAAATATTAAATACTTATGTATTAATATAAATTTTTTTACATGTGATAAGAATTTTTAATTTAAAGATAGATTTTAAGAAAATTATTAAATAATGCGGCATAAATCAATCGTTCCTTCTAGAAAATTATTAAAAACATTCCGGATACCAATGAATATTGACTTTCTTTGTATCTCTCTATATATACATATTAATTACAGAATTCATACATGATTTCAATTAAATTTAGTGTATGAAATCTAGACCTATCAAATGGGCTCAGTCCACCCTCCAAAGTCTTAGCCCACAAGGGCCTTGGACAAAAGGTCCATAAAGCCCTTTGGGCTAGATTTAGCCTGTGATCCAATTTTTATTTTTTATTTTGTATAAAATTAATAAATAATTATTAAAAAAATTATCATAGTTCATTATATAAACTATCTTACTCATTAATTAGTTTATTTTATGGATTAACTTCCAATTTTTTATTTTTTAAAAGAATCTTTAAATTAAGATAAATTTATTTTAAAATAAAAATAATATTTTAACTAACATTAATATTTTAACCAAAATTAAGACAAACACATTTTCTATAAAATCAAGATAAAAACATCAACTAACATAGAATAATCATTAATTAATTAATAATTAAAAAAAAATGTGCAAGAACTAAAATTATGTAATTAACTCACTTAACTTACACAAAATTATCATAATTAACTAACATAGCTTATTCGGGTATTAATGCAAACTTTTCTCTTACCAAGGAAAGAATTAACTCCAAGTAAGTTTCCCCATCTCTTTTTACAATAAAAAGATAACTAAATACAAAAGGAAAGTGTAAAAAAATAATCGTATGAATAAGCGTGTTGTATTTTCATAAAATCATTTCTGTAATAATCATTATATATACTAGTTAATAAAAATATTAAAGACAACATATGCATTGCTACATTCAAAACTGTGCATACTGAAAGATTTTTATAGAGAAATGAATTATTGCTTAAAAATTAATAATCAATAATCGTACAGTTAAAATAAAAAAATATTGGTTCTGACATATGGATTTTCTTATATCCGTATGGAAAATGTTGTTGAAACTTGAAACGAATATGATTACATAAAGGAACTGACACGTGAGGTAACTCCTACTCCCAGGTAGAATTGAGCATTTGCTAGTATCAAATAATATCTTGACCAAGTGACTTTATGTAGTGCATCAAGTGGTCCAAATGGGAGTAAGAAGAACCAGCGGGACTCACACTCTGGTTAGCCAACAAAGCCAATGCCTCAGCGGAGTTAAGAAACTCCTCTCTCCGATGACCCATGAGATCATTCACCATCCTCTCTACAATGTCTCTATCACATGCAACATCCTTCATGTCCAACCCAACCTTACAAACCTCACTCACAAACCTACTGTTAACATGCTGGTCTCCAAAGGCAGGCCAACAAATCATAGGCACACCAGCTGCCAAACTCTCCAAAGTTGAGTTCCACCCACTGTGGGTCAAGAACCCACCAACGGCCTTATGGGCCAGAACCTCCTCTTGCGGGGCCCACCCCACAATGAACCCCCTCTCTTTAGTCCCCTCCTCCAGCTCAGCCGGTACCCGGTCACCCCCATCCATGTCATGACGCACCACCCAAAGGAACCGCTTCTTGCTCTTCACCAAACCGTACCAAATCTCCAAGAGCTTCTCCCTTGTCACGGTGGCGATGCTACCGAAGCTCACGTATATCACCGATTTCAACGGCTGCGAGTCGAGCCACGTCACGCAGCTCCTATCCACTTCCCAGACACAGTTCGTGGACGGCGTGGTTTCGGGGTTGGAGTCTTGCCTGGAGTTCAACTGCGCGTGGAGAGGACCGATGGTGAAGACTCTGGGAAAATGAAGGCGTATCTGCGACAACACGGAACCTTCTAGATCCTCGAACGTGTTCAGTATGAGCGCGCGGGCTCGAAGCGTTTCACGCGTCTCGAAGGCCATGGAATTCATAGGAAATACTATGTCGGATTCGGTTCCCCGACAGAAACTCGGAAGGTCCCGACAACGGAACACGTTTTCCATTCCTGGGATACAGGTTATGACGCGATCCATGTCTTCATCACCTTTCACCAGTTTGGATATTCAACCACAATTTTTTAAAAAGCAAAAAATCAGTTTTTAATGTTACAAATTTACAATTGAGTTTGAGTACCTCTGATTGGAAGTTGGTTGGATTGAAAGAGCTTTGGAACGCAGAAGTAGGTCCAGAAGCAGGAAGCACTGATGGTGCGGAAATGAATGATTGGTATTGAAACCTCGTTGGCTACATCTACGGTGAGGGCTCCAAAGACTCCATCGCCAATGAAGCAAGTGAGTGTGGGTTTTGCGGAGAGAACAATGTGTTTGATGTGAGGCTTTGCGTGCAAATTAATGGAATGAAAGAGGTCAACTAGGGATTCACCGGAACGTGGGTGGTTATGTGGGAGGCCATCGGGGAAGGTCTTGAATTGGAGGGTGGGGTGGGTTTGTAAGAGAGCTTGGATATCTCCGAAACGGTGAAGGCGGTGGTGGATGCAGTCAGTGGTTATGAAGGTGATGTGGAAACGATGGAGAGAGAGAAGCTGTGCGAGCTTGAGCATGGTACTCACATGGCCCTGCACTGGACAGGGAAAGATTACCACATGGGTATGGGTATCGGTTGTTTCTTCCGCCTTCATCTTCCTCCTTACTCTTGTTGCCTTTTCTTCTTTCTGCTTTGGTCGTGCATATATAAATATTAAATAATGCAGTGATGACGGTATATTTGGTTAAGAAAGAAAGACCAAGGTAACAGAATGATTAAAAGATTGGGATGAGGATGACTTTCAAAACTGCTGACTAAGAAAGGGTTCAAATAACCTCTTCTCTCTCCTTCTATTTCATGTCCTATGAATCAAAATTTGACACGAATGTCAATTAAAATGACACGAGTTTTGAGTCAAATTCTCCAATTACTCTGAACAGGTTAACGTTGTTACCTTGTTATCCTTCCTTTCCGATTAAGGTTTAATTTATTGCTGTCTTACGTTGTCCTTTATGCTAATCAATTACGTCCATCCATTGCTGCATTTTAGTTCTATACTTACAATTCAGACCACGTCATGATGATGAATTGTTGCTTCTCCATCCCTTACAATTCACATGGGTTCGCAAGTCTGGAAAAAATCTATGATTTGTACCTCGGGTAATTAATATCATGATACTATGTTTTCAGTTTATTTGTTATAATCAGTAGTTAAAATCTACTCCTTTGTCTTCTTATACAGCTGAATATTTTATTTGAAAGAAAATTTAAGTTGTGTTTAACACAGCATATATGTATAATTACTATTGTTCTTACCGGAAATCTGTTGTAGAGCTGATTCGCCGGGTAAGATCGGCGAGTTTCCTTCACTGGTACGCTGGTGCTCCAAGATGGGGGTGGTACCTGCAAAAGAGACTCTGATGCTAAAGTTAGTGTTTGTGGGAGTATGAGTCTCGTATAAATAATGCACATACCTTTGTGTGAATTAGGGTTGTCTTGGGCCTTGGGCATGAGATAAGACATGATATGATAAGATATCATATGATATGATATGATATGATATGATGAGATATGATATGATATAATTGGAGGGCGGTTTTGATCTAGGACGAGATCCCCAGGTTCGGGAATGATCTGCCCAAATACCGGGCCCCAAATACCGGGTTGACGTCGCTCAGCGTGTGCCCGGGGTGGCTTTGTATCGCTAATCCGGGCTCGGAGCCCGGGTGCGGAGTACGGTCAGTACACTAGCTATTTTATTCTCCCCCCAATTATCCGACCCTAACATGATCCTTGAGTCGTGCTGAGGTTGTGAACAACATGAGCCAACCCTAGTATGATCAACGAGTCGTGTTGAGGTTGCGAATGACACAAACCGACTTTAGTACGATCCTTGAGTCGTGTTGAGGTTGCAAACGACTCGAATATATTCGACCCTGTACGATCAATGAGTCATGTTGAGGTTGTGAACTAGAAAATTTTTCATGACTTCGTTAACTAGCTCGATGTTGAGATGATTGAAAAAAATTTCACATGACAAGTTAGCTTCGTAGCTCAAAAAATTGTCATAATTTATGTCATTTTTTCAACTCAATATTTAGGTGATAGCATCGGTTACTTTCGTAACTTAGAAGTTCTTTATAGTGTGCCTCATTTCACTAACTTGGTATTTAGGTGGTATATCGATTACCTTCGTAACTTAGAAAAAGATTACAAAAGTCTTCAATTTCATCAGCATATGTGCACAAATTCACACCAAAAGGATCATCAAACATAGGAAAGTGCAATTTAACATAACACAGTCTAAGACGAAGGGTCGACTAGAACAACATCAAGTATTTCCCTAAACTAGTCCATTTGTGCTTAAGTCGAGACCAAGATGAGGGAATTCAACTTGCTCCCGAGCAACATCAAAACCCTCCTCTACTATCAACACTTTTAATTCTTTGTTGTGCAATTTCAAATTTTTATTAAATAAAAGCTTGGAGGCATTTTAGTACATGAATTTTATTCTCCCCCCAATTATCCGACCCTAACATGATCCTTGAGTCGTGCTGAGGTTGTGAACAACATGAGCCAACCCTAGTATGATCAACGAGTCGTGCTGAGGTTGCGAATGACACAAACCGACTTTAGTACGATCCTTAAGTCGTGTTGAGGTTGCAAACGACTCGAATATAGTCGACCCTGTACAATCAATGAGTCATGTTGAGGTTGTGAACTAGAAAATTTTTCATGACTTCGTTAACTAGCTCGATATTGAGATGATTGAAAAAAATTTCACATGACAAGTTAGCTTCGTAGCTCAAAAAATTGTCATAATTTATGTCATTTTTTCAACTCAATATTTAGGTGATAGCATCGGTTACTTTCGTAACTTAGAAGTTCTTTATAGTGTGCCTCATTTCACTAACTTGGTATTTAGGTGGTATATCGATTACCTTCGTAACTTAGAAAAAGATTACAAAAGTCTTCAATTTCATCAGCATATGTGCACAAATTCACACCAAAAGGATCATCAAACATAGGAAAGTGCAATTTAACATAACACAGTCTAAGACGAAGGGTCGACTAGAACAACATCAAGTATTTCCCTAAACTAGTCCATTTGTGCTTAAGTCGAGACCAAGATGAGGGAATTCAACTTGCTCCCGAGCAACATCAAAACCCTCCACGGACTTCTCAACAATCTCGGTCTTGGTAGCCGTCAAAAGGTTCTAGGTATCATTCAATTGAGCTTTCAAATCCATGATCTCCTTTTCGCGATCAACAATTGTAGTCTCCAATGCACTTGCTCGTCCTTCTTCCTTGACCAATGTGGTCTTTATCTCTATAAGCTCGATCTCCAAACACACTTTTTCCTCAACAACTACCTTTCTCTCCCTTTCAATATTTGCAATTGTAGCAACCATCTTGTCTATTTGATCCTAAAGTAATAGTGCATCCTTTCTTGGCTTTCTTCCAAGCTTGAGTTGATACCCGACTCTTGTTCTTGGCTACCCAAGATAGAAGGGCCATTCGGTTGACCAAGCCCTCCATCTCTTTATAGATAATGACCACCCCAACTATTTCCACTATGCTTATAACAATTGGGCAAGCGATGCACTTCTTGATTAGTTCGAAATGCGTGAATGATTTGTCCTCTACTATCAACACTTTTAATTCTTTGTTGTGCAATTTCAAATTTTTATTAAATAAAAGCTTGGAGGCATTTTAGTACATGAATTTTATTCTCCCCCCAATTATCCGACCCTAACATGATCCTTGAGTCGTGCTGAGGTTGTGAACAACATGAGCCAACCCTAGTATGATCAACGAGTCGTGCTGAGGTTGCGAATGACACAAACCGACTTTAGTACGATCCTTAAGTCGTGTTGAGGTTGCAAACGACTCGAATATAGTCGACCCTGTACAATCAATGAGTCATGTTGAGGTTGTGAACTAGAAAATTTTTCATGACTTCGTTAACTAGCTCGATATTGAGATGATTGAAAAAAATTTCACATGACAAGTTAGCTTCATAGCTCAAAAATCGGATTATGGGTTAGACGGTTTGGCGAAGTGATGAGCGAAACGGTTTGATTAAGGTTGGAAGTCGATCTTGTGGGGATGTCGAAGTTCGCATTCGACCTCGAATTTGTGATAAACTGGCTAATGAAGGTTTGAATTCGACCTTTAAGTGAGAATGTTGAGGTTCGTAGCCAACCTCAAATTGAGATGGACGAAGGTTCAGACTTAACCTTAGGTGAGAATATTGAGGTTATGAAGGTTCGAATTCGACCTTTGAGTAAGAGTACCGGGGTTCGTGCTCGACCTCGGGTTTACGTGAATGATTTGATTAAGATTCGTATTCGACCTTTAAGGAAAGTACCAGGGTTCGTGCTCGACCTCATGAATGATTTGATTAAGATTCGTATTCGACCTTTAACGAGAGTACCGGGGTTCGTACCCGACCTCGGGGTTTATGTGAATGATTTGATTAAGGTTCGTATTCGACCTTTGAGGAAGAGTACCGGGGTTCGTGCTCGACCTCGGGTTTACGTGAATGATTTGATTAAGATTCGTATTCGACCTTTAAGGACAGTACCGGGGTTCGTGCTCGACCTCGGGTTTACATGAATGATTTGATTAAGATTCGTATGAATGTTTAAGGTTCGTACTCGACCTCAGAATTTTAACAAGGTTCGTTCTCGACCTCGGATAGGAATGTTTAAGGTTCGTACTCGACCTCAGAATTTTAACAAGGTTCGTTCTCGACCTCGGATAGGAATGTTTAAGGTTCGTACTCGACCTCAGAATTTTAAATGTTTAAATGTTTGTGGCCTGACCTTGGTCTTGCTTTCCTTGTGGTTTTCTGCGATCCTGGTCACGGAAGGCGGAGTGTTCTCCCATCTGGATGTATCCAACAGCACGGGCGCGTAGCTCGTCCATGTCGCGAGGAGCTTCGCGAGTGCCATGAGCATGGCGTGTAGGGCGACCTCGGGATTCAAATTTTGAATTTTCACCGAGATGCTGACAAAGCGTTGCATGAACGTCCGTAGTGGTTCGTCATCGCTCTGTTTGAGGCTAGCCAGAGCAGCTGACGTTATGTGATGAGGCCGACTGGTCGCATACTGCGCTTTGAACCGTCTGACCAGGGTGCCGAAGCTGTCAAACTCGGCGGGTAGCTGGGTATACTAGTTGAGTGCAGCCCCCTTGAGCGAGGTTGGGAAAACCCTGCACAGTATAGCATCCTCATTAGTATAGAGGCTTACCTGGGTGGTGTATAGATTGATATGCTCGTCCGAGTCGGTTGTGTCGTCGTAGCGGTCGAGGTGGAAAGGCTTCCGCCCAAAGGGGAGAGGTGTCTCCATGATACCGTCCACGAAAGGATGGCGGCGGAAGGTCGTCTGATTCCCGTGCCGTGGGCAGGGGCGTTGCTGACGTCGTGCGTCGACCTGTTCGTCGGCGCATGAGACTGATGTGTGGGAGGCTTGGGAGTCGGTGCCCTAGCCGGTGTTGGCGGTTGTGAAACCGAGTGCCCTTCGTCCTTATTCAGGTTACTCTGCGGAGGGGGTTGATCTGAGGGACGCCGAGGGAGTTGGGTGTGAATGCGCTCGTTCTCGGCGCGTAGTGCCGCTAGGTCGGCTTCATTAGCGGTGCGCGTTGCTGCTAGATCAGTTTCGTGCTTGGCACGCATGCTTTGTAGGTCGGCGGCGTGTTGTTTCCGCATCTGTTCGACCTGGTCGATCAGCCTCCTCAATGTTGCTGCATCACTATCCATGGTAGTTGAGCGATCTAGGTCGTCTGTTGCGCGTCTG